TCCTTAAAGGGCTTCGCCTAAAGAGCGCGTCCTATACATCGCTATCCGATCGCTTGGATCACGCGACGACGACTGGGAGCTCTTCAAGGCCAATCAATGGTCCTTAGCAACAGCAAAATTCAATTTGGCCGCATTCACGCAGTGCACGAAGGCGGCCCAAGTTGAACTCTGCTGTTACGGCGGTCCACCGACTGGCGTAGAGCACTCCCGGTCGTGATCGCGTGATGCAAGCGATCGAGTCGCGAAGTATGAACGCTCCGGAATTAGGTGATTTCGCCGCGCGCGAAGAGTGCAGCTGACACAAACCCCGTAATAAGCGAATGTTGCAGGAGGCTGTCCGTGCAGGTGGTGAAATGACAGTTGACTTGGTTGGAAAACGACTGAATGTGAATCCTAATATTGGTATCTTCATCACCATGAATCCTGGTTATTCTGGAAGATCAAATTTGCCGGACAACTTGAAACAGGTATGAGATGCACTTGATTGTCTTTAAGACTTTATTGTAACAACTACAATCTGTAGAAAAAAACTAATGTATGGTTTCCCACTAATAAGAAGTGTTTAGTTGTTCCGAAGCTTGGCCATGACCCAACCTGATCGCCAGCTCATCGCCCAAGTTATGCTGTTCTCGCAAGGGTTCCGTACTGCTGAGGTCCTTGCGAACAAGATTGTTCCGTTGTTCATGTAAGTTCTTCAAATACTGGAAGAACTGGTGTCCCACCTTCACAAACAAAATTTCAATCAGTGCATTTTCAGCCTTTGTAAAGAGCAGCTATCGTCTCAATGTCACTACGATTTTGGCCTTCGTGCGTTGAAGTATGTGCTTGTATCGGCAGGAAATGTCAAGCGTGATAAGCTCGCTAAGATGGGATCAGCAGCATTGGAAGATGTGGCTGAGCAACAGGTACTAAAATACACCCTTAGCTGTTATCTACGGATTAGCATGAATCTCTTCACATCGGCTGTAGTACCCTTCTTTTGAACACCTCTCAGCATTGATTCGGCTGGGTTTTCCCAACTTTTAACCCAGTCCGGTTTTCGAGACAACAGTGGGCCGTGGGAATGAGACAGCCCGAACAACAGCCCACTGCCCATTTCCTTCAGAGACACTTTATGCACTCATCTCCGAGGACGGTCCTTACCATGTGCAAAGCGAGTGGGTCTGCAGCTGCAGTAACGTGCCATTTTCTCCGCTTAAAAGTGCACGGGGACGGGCCCGTAGGACAGTGACACCCGGGTGCCGTCACCCGATTCCGCCTCCGCCATTCTGAAGGTGCCGCACTTGCGCGTGTTCCAAAATCACGCAGCGAACACGCCATAAGAGGCGCGACGAGCAAGCAATAGTAATTTGTCGTTCTGTCGCGCACGGCTTAACGTGCGGCTATGGGCGACGAAATCCCAATGTGCATCAGTTTGTCGATTGGAGGGGCAAAGCTCATATGAATCCAACCGGAGACAGGACCCCGTGACGAGATATATGGAACTATCCCGTTCCTTTACCACTCGTATTCAAATGGCTAGACAGGAAAACTCGTCTGTCGAGCGCGGCGTCGCCACGCCCGCCAGCGCAGCACATTTTAGTTGTCACACACCTGAGGTAGAGAGCAACCAGAAACGGGAGGACATGTACAAGTAGCCCGGCTGACTACGGCTAGGTGTGCAGCAGCGCTTTGGAGATCATCGGGGAACGGGATCGGTAAATCACTGCTCTTCCCGTTCTTGTGCACTTTGAGAGGAGACAGTGCTACGCTTCTGCACCCCACACATTCACCTCGTACCGGTAAGGATCGCGTCCCTTAGAGGTAGGTGTACAGTTCCTCTTAAGGATCGAACTGGTTATGTCTCTGAAAGGGATCTCTCTGTAACACCTGTCAAGTGAAGGTTACTTGACACTCTCATGAGGATCAAAAAGGTTCCTAGGCGCTGGCTCTCGGCAGTGCGAGTGTGGTGCTTGTTTGAGCCGCGTGAAGTCTAACGCGACAAAGCTGCACCATGCTGTCTAAAAGGTGACATCTTTTGAGGCTGACCAAACCGTGACAGAAGATGTCACTTCGTCTGCGAGTGCATAGAAACAGGCATGATGTGATTTATACCCGTTGAAGGGCGGTCCCACGCGAGGCATATAGCGCCGATGATTATTCGAAACTCGTGCGTATTTTGCAGGAAGACTACTGCCGGCCAAATGGCGCCCTTTATTTTGTGTATTCAAATTTTTGAACTGATGAATACCCCTCATGTGTGTTCAGATGCTTATCCAATCCGTTTGCGAGACGTTGGTGCCAAAACTTGTGAGCGAAGATATTGCCCTGCTCTTCTCGCTGCTATCCGACGTCTTCCCATCGATTCACTATACACCAAACCAGATGGTCGAGTGAGTCTTATGGTACCCTTATCACCCCAATCCAGAAGGCGCTGATTAAATTGCTCGAATTTTCAGGTTACGTCAGCATGTGGCTCAAGTATGCGACGAGCTCATGCTCTGTCATGCCGATGTCACCGGTGAACTGGGAGCTGCATGGATTGAAAAAGTACTGCAGCTTTATCAGATCACCAACCTCAACCATGGTCTTATGCTTGTCGGTCCAAGTGGTAGTGGAAAAACCAGCGCTTGGAAGGTGCTGCTGAAAGCACTGGAACGGTTCGAGAAGATCGAAGGAGTGGCCCATGTCATCGATGCGAAGGCGATGAGCAAAGATGCTCTGTATGGTGTGCTTGATCCGAATACACGTGAATGGACGGATGGATTGTTCACGTCGGTCATCAGAAGGTTAGTGCTAAGTTGAGTTGGTTCTACAAGGGCATTTTGAAGAGGGGGGGGTACCTTTTCGACTCTCGCTAGTTCAGATGGACTAGAAAAAAAGGGGAGTGGGTTGGTGTCAAGCTAAATGCTCCTGATTCCAGGCCCAGTATTTTTTGTTCAATGACCATACTCATATCCATCCTTCAGAATAATTGATAACGTCCGTGGCGAAAGCGAAAAACGTCAATGGATTATTTTCGACGGTGATGTGGATCCGGAATGGGTTGAAAATTTGAACTCAGTACTCGACGACAACAAATTGCTTACCTTGCCCAATGGAGAGCGTCTTGCGATCCCACCAAATGTGAGTGGCATCTCATTTCCATTCAGCGAAAATTTGTACACTCATTTTTAAGGAAGGTTACAAACGCGGCTCTTATCTTTAGCTTTATCAGTTTTTAATCTGCGCAGATTATAAGACTTTTTATTGGAGGGTCCCTACATTTTGTTTTTGCATGTTGCGCTACCGCGTACTTTTTTCTTCACAGACAATGTTCCAGGTACGCATTATATTCGAAGTCGCTGATCTGAAATACGCTACCTTGGCTACGGTATCGCGTTGCGGTATGGTATGGTTCAGTGATGAGGTAAGTGTGCGAGACTTGAAGCTCTCTTTTGGCTACCCTTCACTCTTCACAGGCCGGTCAAATTGTGGTCGAAATGTCCCCCCCCCCTTCCGACATATTTAATTAGAACTGGTTAAGATTGTTCCCGGTTGTAATTTGAGGACATGGACTCAAGTGTAAAACAGAGAAACACCGAGACACCAAAACTAAAACACTTTGTAGCAGCAAATTTTGTTTGGAGACCTTTCCTAAAGGTATTGTAGCCCCTAAACACCAATGTCGCACTACACTGACGCGGCGTGTAGAAGCTTGGTGCGTGCATTACGAGGCCGGCGTCAAAACTGCTGGTAGACTTGGCGCCCGGAGCAAGGCTGCCAGGCGCTTTTGCTTTTGCAGGATGTGACAGTAATTCTCAGGAGCTTGGTCTTTACTCTCAGGACAAGGTATTGGCCCTAGAAAAAAGGCCTAGATGATGAGATGCGATCCGTTAGTGGCCTGAATTTTATAGAGTGGAGCAGCAAAAGGTTCTCCTGTTTTTTCTAACTATTGCTATTTTCAGGTCATAACAACTGAAATGATGTTTGAACACTACCTGGCTCGCTTACGCAACGTTTCTATTGAAAGTGACGCAGTGATTGCCGAAGATGCAGCTCCTACTCGATCAGTGACCATTCAAAGGCAGTGTGCTGCTTCACTTCAGTCGCATTTCTCTCCAGGTCTGAACTTAATTGATACTAGGCTTTGAAGCTCAATTTTAAGGCAGTGAGCACGATGGATGTGGGCGGGCGGTTACTGCCAACGTCATTGGTGGAAGGGCTGAGAGGTGTGTGGCCAAACGCCCTCTCGCAGCCCTTCCACCAATGACTGAGAGCGACTGCCCGCTCCAGCCATCGTGCTCACTGCCTTCGAAAAGGGCTCGCCAACGAGACGGTATCGTGCCACAAAATATGTACTGATGTTCAGATGGTTTGGTCCCGTTGGCTCTCAACTATGCTCCTCGCGAACCTCGATCATGTCATGGTTCCAACGCAACAGCGACTCCTGTCGTCATTTTTCGCCATGATGAACTACTCCGTCCGATGCGTCATCAACCATGACGCTAATCAGGGCGATTTCCCTCTCTCAGTAAGTGCTTTGTATTTTGTGTCTGTCAGGGAAGCACTGAATTGTTCTAACCCTGGTTCTGTTAAAGGCCAGTGCGCGCGATGGTTGGGGGCAGGGCGGTTTTTGCCGACGTCATTGGTGGAAGGGCTAAGTAGAGTACAGTCAGACGGTCTGTCGCAACCCCTCCACCAGTGGCGCCGGCAGCAACGGCCACTTCCAGCAATCGTGGCCACTGCCTTCAAAGTTTAGGTTACTGTTGTGTTTACGTTAAGAAACCAGGGGGAAACTTGTCTCGGCTACTTGTGGGCAGAGCACATCCTGTCGCTGGGAAGGGTCTTCCCCAACCAAGGAATTCCCTGTCAAAGCGGCATCAAATATGACCACACCTACCCCCTCTCTTCTTCAGAATAGGGTCTCCTAAAGTTGTGAATAGCGCGTGCGAAACGGGAGAAATCAACTATCAAAAAAGAATTCTCACGCCAAATACGATTCTCCAACGTACGACTCGCCCTGCTTATGGGTAATAACCTTGCGCCAGGCGCACTTCTGAGGTGTCAATCGAGAATTACTTTCTGAAGTTTATGAATTTTCAGCCGGACCAAGTTGAGACCTATGTGACCCGAACAATGCTCACGAACATGATCTGGGCGTTTAGCGGTGACGGCAAATGGAAATGTCGTCAGCAAATGAGTGACTTCATCCGAAATTCAACCACACTCACTTTGCCATCCAATCAACAGGTAACCCATTTTATTATCCAGTCGCTTGTTACTTAGATAATTACCATGGTATGAAAGTTCGACTGCTTACTATTAGGTTTTTTCCTAAAAAAAGTTTTTCAGGCTCCTCTGATTGACTTTGAAGTGCAAATGAGCGGTGATTGGCAACCGTGGTTGAGCCGTGTTCCAGTGATGGAGATTGAAGGTAGCTTTACTTACCCAGCCTTCATTGAAGGCACAATCCGCGATAACCAGATGGGCGGAGAAATAGGCGTGTGCTTCCAACCACCATATTGGTCTGGTCCTCCTCCCCAGGATTGTTCCTTCGTCCTCAATCTTAGTACCAGCTCCTCTTCGTGTCAGGACGTACAGTTGCCTATGGGAGGCCGATGGAAGGTTATGTGTCTCATCTCGTTTCTCCGCCCACCAGATGGTCACGGAATATGTCTTTAAGTTCGCATCAACAACTTGTTGTTTGGGGTTTATTTCTCTCAATACCCTGTTTAGCTCATCGAGTGGCTGCTGCCGATCTTGTCGTTCCAACGATTGACACCGTACGTCATGAGATGCTGCTGTCTGCATGGCTATCTGAGCACAAGCCACTGGTGTTATGTGGACCTCCTGGTTCTGGAAAGGTAATGTGGCCCCAATTCTTCAGCTCTACATCTCTCTATATCTTCGCATGCTTTTTTTCTGCAGACTATGACCTTGCTGGCCGCCTTGCGGTCCCAGCAAGATATGGACGTGGTGAACGTGAACTTCTCCTCGTCGACCACGCCAGAACTGCTGATGAAGACGTTCGATCACTATTGTGAATATCGTCGTACACCGAACGGTATTGTTTTGGCGCCGGTCCAACTAAGCAGATGGCTGGTGATATTCTGTGATGAGATCAACTTGCCCGCTCCGGATAAATACGGTACCCAAAGGGTCATCAGCTTCTTGCGACAGCTTGTGGAATTGGTAAGGTTGTGATACGATTTGTTTCATAGCAACTGAAATAAGAAGCTTTTTTAGAACGGTTTCTATCGTTCTTCGGATCACTCATGGGTATCACTGGAACGCATCCAATTTGTTGGTGCCTGTAACCCACCGACAGATCCTGGCCGTCATCCCATGACTTTGCGTTTCTTACGCCATGTCCCTGTGGTCTATGTTGACTATCCAGGACAGACTTCTCTACTACAGATTTATGGTACCTTTAACAGGTAAGAATTGTAGGCACAGCTCGGCTTGGTGGGGGCATTTTGCAGGTTCCCTTCAGTCACTACCGACGACTCCTGGGTGGAACCGTAAAGTCTTGTAAAGCAATGCTATATCAGGAGCTTCATTGACATTTGCAAGAGCTTACAGGTCTTACCAACTTAAGACGTGTAAGTTAACCGGACACAAAAGAAATTAGCAGAAGTGCAGAATGCCCCTCCCAAGCCAAGCAGCGCCGAATTGCATCCCCATGAAGTAAAAGTCAAGTAAATTGAGCTTGATCGCGCAAATTCTTCTATCCGGCTAGATATAACCATTTCCAGAGCTATGCTCAAGACAGTGCCAGCGGTTCGTGGTCTAGCTGATCCCCTCACTAACGCAATGGTTGACGTTTATTTGGCCAGCCAGGTGAATCCCTGTTTTCTCTTTAAGAGTGTTTTATTCAGTTTTATTATCTAATAGTGTAGTACTGTTTGAAATAAAGCCGTGCCCTCTCAGGAACACTTCACGCAAGACGATCAACCTCATTATGTGTACTCACCCCGTGAACTGACTCGATGGGTTCGTGGAATTTGTGAAGCGATTGCTCCACTGGATGGAATCAATCCTGATCAACTTGTACGCCTCTGGGCTCATGAAGCATTACGATTGTTCCAAGATCGACTTGTTACGGAAGAGGAACGCATATGGACCGATGAGCTGGTTGATTCCACAGCAGAAAAGTTAGTTCTGGAACTTTTTGATTTTTTTCATCTTAGGCTTAGATCTTGGCTCAGGTGGGGGGGGGGGGAAGAGGGAGGGGAAGTCTCAACGTGTTTAGCGCTTCTTACCATTCACACTCTACTTCGCTGCGGACGGTTGGGCGTGTCAGGCAGTATGAGTCACCCCGTCAAAGCCGTTCTCTGCCTTCTTGTTGAAGCGCGCATGCGACAAAAAGTGGTAGAAAACGAGTAATACGAACGATATGATACAGTCATATCACTTGCTCGCTTCAACAACTGGTGGAGAACGGTTTGGCACCGCGCCAAACGCAGCCGCACTGACACGCCCAACCGTCCGCAGAGAACTACACTATACAACACCATTCTCTGGAATTTCGACTGCATTTTTATAGAAATTTGCCGAATTATTGGGACTTTTCTGTACCCTTGGCGCAGCGCTACTAAGCCAGGATTAGATGGTTTCGCCTCTAATTATTAAGACGTTACTATTTTCAGATACTTCGGAGGTGCGTGCAATATCAAGGAGTCGTTACGTCGTCCCCTCCTGTACTCATGTTGGCTATCGAAGCACTATGTGCCTGTCACAAGAGACGAGCTCAAAGACTATGTTACTGCGAGACTCAAAGTAAGACCGTATCCGGATTCCACAGTCCTTTCAATCGGCTAATGTTTATCTGTTAAGGGCTTCTACGAAGAAGAACTTGACGTACAATTGGTTCTATTCGACCAAATGCTCGATCATGTACTGCGCATTGATCGAATCTACCGACAACCTCAAGGCCATCTTCTGCTCATCGGTACTGCTGGAGCTGGAAAGACGACCTTGTCGAGATTTGTGGCGTGGCTGAATGGATTGAGTGTGTTCCAGGTTAGTAAATATGGATCTGTCCGATCGATAAATACTGCTATTACCAAATTATTGTTTTGCTGTTTAGCTGAAAGTTCACTCCAAATACACCGCTGCCGATTTCGATGAAGATATGCGTACGGTACTGCGACGGGCCGGTTGCCGTAACGAGAAGATGTGCTTCATTATGGATGAGTCAAATATGCTGGATACGGGATTCTTGGAGAGGTTGAACACGTTGCTGGCTAATGGAGAGGTGGGGTTTTCTCCCATTCGATTGCGTTTGTGGTACTTATTGATGCTCAGTGATATTTATTGATACTCAGTGATATTAATTGATACCTGGAGCACTTTGTTGATTCAGGTGCCGGGTCTGTTCGAGGGTGATGAACATACAACTTTGATGACTCAAATCAAAGAAGGAGCTCAGCGGCAAGGTTTGATGTTGGACAGCCACGATGAGTTGTATAAGTGGTTCACCCTGCAGGTGTTTATTTATTCCTTCAAGCATTGCCTTTTCATTCAAATTTTCACGGGTTTTACCTTCTCATGTCAACGGATGGGGGGGGGAGTGTTGAGGGGTCGGTATAATTTTCCTTTCTTTTCAGGTCATGAGAAATCTCCATGTTGTATTTACGATGAATCCATCTGGTAGCGGCCTTCGTGAACGAGCGTCGACTTCGCCTGCGTTGTTCAATCGTTGTGTACTGAACTGGTTCGGAGACTGGGCTGACACAGCTTTATATCAGGTAATGGACTTATAACTTTGGCACTGTCTCCCCTGGTCCTGTTGCGGACCCATCTTTCCTAGTCCGAGTGAAAATTTGATTTGGCTAGAAATGTGTCCGTAAGGATAGTATGACAAAGCGAATATGGCATGACATCACTTTGGCGCTGGCGCCAAAACATCTTAGACTAAGAAGTTGGTGCCAAGCGGATGTGATCCTTTAGGTTTGGGTCGGTTGAGCTACTCTTGGACAAGTTTGTGGCCAAATCTGCTGTCGTAAACAGATTTCAGTGACAATTTAACCTGAATTTCGGAAGAAGGGGTCATCAAGAACAGCAGTGATACAGTCTACAACAACTGTCGCGCGTCATCTTTTTTTGTGGGGTCTGAAATGCGTTGATGCTGTGCTGCCCAGTTGGTGTTCTGGGGGAGTCTAAGGAAAGACCTTTTCCTCCCCTTATTACTTACTGACTGTTCCTTCCTTTTTTGAAGTTTGCAGGTTTTCCTCGCAAAAACTAGCCGCCTTCGAGCGGTGTATGTGAGGGGGGGGGGCGGTCGCCACTGAGCAACTATTATGTTCAACCAAAGAAAGTGGTAGTATTATAGGACTTTGGCTGCGGTCTGAAGTAGGCAAGTAGGGGAGAGTGGTGGGGAGATTTTCTTTTTTAAACCAAACACGACCCTCACTGGATTAGACCTCTCCGCTGGGGATTACCCAACCTACGACGTGCCTTGCCAAGTATAGTGAAGTGTTGATGCATTCTAACGAATGTTATCTGATAGAAGCCGGTAGCCTTTTAAAGACGGATACAACCCCTTCCTCCCCCCGTCCCCTCCCCCGTCGCAATGTTGGTCTCCCAAGAATGTGGACAGCAAGCGTGAATGAGGAAAATCAACTACCAAACAACTTTTCTCGGGCCGAATGCAACCTTCAGCTCCATTTGCTCTCTGAACGACGTGCTCTGAGTGGTCTATAGAAAAGGGGAACATGTACTTGAAGAGAAGATCTTCCAAAGATGGTTTTATCTAGATTGGCATAGAGCTGGCTGAGTGCAAGAGAGCAGGGCCATTGTTGGACTGGGTCTCGATACGGTCTAACAATCCACGTTTATGATAAATTAGCTACTCTTTTACTTTTCCCAATAGAGATTGTGTTCAGGTTGGTATGGAACTGACCAACACTTTGGATATGGACCGTACCGATTACGAGCCGCCATTCGCGCTGTCAACCGTCTGCGATTTGGTGCCAAGTCCGCCTACGTACCGTCATGCTGTCATCAATACTCTCGTGCATTGTCATAAATCTGTGCAGAAGCTCAATGAGCAGGTTAGTAATTGCTTTTCTTGCAGTTCCGGTGGATTTTTGATCCATCATTATAGGAAAGAACGGTGCTGTTCGGCTTGGGAGGGGCTTTTGCAGTTTACCTAGTTCCTTTTGCTTGTTAATGTTATTTGACAGGTTGCACTTAGGTAAAACCTGTAAACTCCTTTTTAACTGTAAAGTACTAGCAGTGAGCCTCTTAGGCTCCAGGAATGTACAGGTCTCTAGAGAGTGGCCTGAAGTATCCTGCTGAGTACTACTTGGTGCCCCCACCCCACCAAGCCGAACTGTGCCAAAAGTTTTGCCTTTCTGAGCGGTTTCCAATCATTTTCTTTTTCAACTGAGTGGAGGTAGGTATGTATAACAGGTAGTAATTGTGCTGCAACTCTTTAAAGATAGTGATAGTTGTGAAACGTTTGATTAAAACTTTATTTATTCGTGGTAATCAAATGGAAATATAATTGATCTGTCGAATTACAGGACTCTTTGGTAAGTAGGGTGCTTCTATGGGACATTAGTTGGTTGCTTCTCATTTCTCCTTTGTTGATGATTAAGTTTTCTGGAAGCTGTTAACGAAAATCAGAATTTCTTTCGTTGAATTACCGTCTGCATACGTTTTAGGAACAGAAGCGCGGCCACAGAGTGATGCTTGTGACACCACGCCACTTCCTCGACCTTATCAAGCATTTCATGAGCTTGTTCCACGAAAAACGACGTGATCTTGAGGAGGAGAAGGTATGTGTTTCTTGTGGTTCCTGAAAATCAAGGCATGTAATCTAGCAGTATGTGACTTTAGGTCCATCTGAACATTGGTCTAAACAAGATCCGTGAAACCGAAGAACAGGTGAAGGAGCTGCAAAAGAGTCTGACCTTGAAGAGCCGCGAGCTGGAGGAGAAGAAGACAGCTGCCAACTTGAAGTTGAAGGAGATGTTAGCTGATCAGCAGAAGGTATCGTTTTTGGGTGGTGATAATGCCCATACAATGCAAACTATTTTTTAAGGCCGAAGACGAGAAGCGTCTGTCCGAACAACTTCAAAAGGAACTTTCTGCGCAACTGACGCAGATAGCAGCCAAAGAATAACTGAAGTCAGAAAGCCCAGTCAAGTATGACCCTATGCAAAGTCTCTCCCGCTCTCGTAGTTAACGATTTCTGGGCACAATCTGAGAAGATGACTGGTCCCCAGAACATCATAAGGATCATTCAGGTCGAACCCGGCTGCGAAATAGAGCCCACAGCTTCAAAGAATCCGGAAGAAAGTCAACGGTCAGCTCAAATCAATGCAATTCACCAGTGATGGGAACTGCCTAAACGCGATTGCAATCTTGGCTAGTCAAAATGTCATACGCCGGATGGAAGGATGGCACCTATTTTTGCTTTTGAATGCTTGGGTATTAGCAGGGCCAAACCGAGAACACGGGCGTAACAAGCAGTCAGTCTCACTCCCTGCATCCTAGTGAGATCCTGGAGTTCAGGGGAGTTCAGTGACGGAGGGGGTCACTTTGCACTTTGCAAACTCTCCTAGTACGTGTGAGGCCTAGAGAGCTATAGTGATGAATCATTACAAGGGTTGACAGGTTTCACCATGCTGCTCGATACCTGTTCCAGCTTGTCGGAGGGCTTACGTTTCAGAAGCGAGGCGTCAGCCGGAATTGAAGTAACGAATGCGCAATGTCCCTACCCTGTGCCAGCCGAACTGCTCAGACAAGTTCTCTTTCCCCTCTGGAAAATCATACTGACCAGAGATCCGTACGAATTCCAAAACATGCTGAAACAACAAAAAGTTGGTGGCTTTCTGAGAAATAAAACACTGGTACCTCACACACATTGAGGGATCCCATCACCCCCCCCGCTCCCCAGATGTCGATGTCCGGCTCCCCGTCTGGAACTTGCCACGGTCAAAGTACAGGCATTGGGAAAGTCTAATTCCTTCCTTTCCGCCTGAAAACCTTTTGCGGGACCTTGCTGAAAGACCTGTGAATTCTTGTAACACAAAATGGCTCACTTGTAACATTATCATCCTCGCAAGAGTTGACAGGTCTCACGCTTGTATCTGTTAAATAACGGAACCAGCCCAAAATGTAGAGAAGTGCAAATGTCCCTCCCAAGCCGAGCAGCGCCGATTGGTGACTCATTTTGCAGTAATTGGGTGGGAGGAGATAGAGACTCGTTGTGAGTTATTCAGTGGTTCGCTCTTTGTTCTAAAGTGATAGAGAGAAGAGGCACGCCGGTGAGATGTTCCCTTGTCTCCGCTCATACGTTCGGTGCGAAATGTCCCCTTTGACAAAATGAAATGCCACCTTACTGGATAAACGTACAGCGAATGCGTGGCGCATCCGGATGAATCTCTGCTCAGCCTTCCACATTTTGCTAATTAGAGCAGTATCCAAATGGAAATTCATTCTTTTGGTTGTATTATAGAGTTTCTGATATTTTTTTGTTCAATTCAGGCAATCCGTGGTGTTATGGTCAAAGACGATTTCATGCCGAGAATTCTCGCTTTCGATACTGACAGTATCACTACGGATATTTTGAAGCAAATGGATAAGTATGTGAATAATCCTGACTGGGACTTCGACAAGGTAATTTCTAGGCTGGCTACATTTTTCAACGTTTTTGGGGGAGACAATTATAAGGCTCTCCTCTTTTTTGAATAGAAATATTGTTCAGCTGTTCAGTGGAGTTTTGCCTTCTCTTTTATTCTGGCCCTTCATTATTACATTGCTATTGTTTTTCTTGATTGTTAGGTCAACCGTGCTTCACAAGCTTGCGGTCCTATGGTGAAGTGGGCGAAGGCTCAACTGCTGTACTCTGGAATGTTACATAAAGTAAGCAGACGTCAGTTCTCGTGTTGCTATCATAAAAAATCGCTTTGAAGGTTGAACCTCTTCGTAATGAGCTGAAGCGGCTCGAGTCTGATGCTAAGAAGAAGACCACGGAAGGTAACGAGGTCAAGGCACGTATTGCCCAACTAGAGCAGTCAATTGCTGCTTACAAAGAGGAATACGCGCAATTGATTGGACAGGCAGAAAGCATCAAGATGGATTTGGCAACTGTCCAAGAAAAGGTCGGTGCTGAAATATGGATTAGAATTGATCAATTATGGTTATTTTGGTGCAATTTGGCTAAGAGGGGGTGCTGAAAGAACTTCTTGTGCAAAACTGGTATTGTCATATTGCGGATGAGGATTTTTATTTTCTGGTGGGAAGTGAACCATCTCCTTTGTGAAGAAAGGGGTTGGGCAATAGAATCTCCATTCAAAATTTCAGTACTGCACAAGGAGACTTTTGAATGCCCCTCTTAGTCCAGGTTAGCTCCTGCTGAAATTTTATTTAGTTTGCTTCGTTTTTATTGCTTACTGAAACGCGGGTTATTTAGGTTGGGCGATCAACGGAGTTACTGTCGTCGCTGAGATCTGAACGTGATCCGTTGGTCCGGTGGTTGTGATGGATTTGCTCAACAGATGGACACGCTTATTGGAGATGCCGTCATAACTTTCTGGGGCGTTCCTCGAGCTTACCCGGCGGGTTAGGCTTTGAACTGCAGGCAGGTACGGTAAGGAGGGATTATTGATTGTCGATTCACCGATCTCGTTACTCCGAATTCGTAAAGAGTAACTGAGAAACTTCCATATGCTCAGGCGAAATTGGTTTGAAGAGTTTGTATTTTTCCGTGGGCAATGAGAAGGAGTGGCGACGCTGATAGAGGAGACTCGCACAACTCGCATCATTCATCTCAGTTGGCGGGTCCATGCCGTGGGCCTCACCGTATCGGAGAGGCGAGCGCGTCGATGAGGAAAGCAAAAAGTTTGTTCACCCCACCCTGGTGGAAAGTTTAGCCAGAACCGACAACTTTTCCGCAACACGTGGGTGCGCATTGAGAACCATAAGGTTATCCTCATTGATGCCCCCTCTTTCCAGTTTATCGATGAAGACATAAGTGTCGGCCAATGGAGAGTAAAATTGTAAATTGTAAAGGACTTCTGCGTTAATTCAGCGGCGTCGATCAACCATTTCATAAGTGAACATCCATCCGGAATCTCTTTGGCAATTTGATTGAACCATGAAGCAATACAGCTCGCACGCGACAGCTGCGGCGTCGCCTATCACGCCCACCAGGCGGCAACTTAGCGGTTGCGTTCGGAGTGTCGCGTTGTGTGTCTCTTGTCCCTAACGTAGAAGTAAATAAATAAAGAAATAGCTAGACTAGTTCGAGGGGCATTTTAATTTTACTTGTCACTAATCACGCATTTTAAGCTTCGAGACATTCTGTTCCATCGGTGGATCGATCATGTGCATGGTGCAGGAGTGAAATTCCGTTCTGATTTGGCAAGAATCGAGTACCTCAGTACGGTGGATGATCGTCTGCAGTGCAGCAAGATGATTACCGTAAGTTATAGGAAGTTTGTGAAGGCAATTCATGTGAGAAATGCAAAAAATCGCATCTCTGTAGAGGTTGCATGTAGTGTTGTAAAATGTTTATTGGATTTTATGGGAGAAATGTTGGCTTGGTAAGGACATTTCCCTGGTTCCCGATTGATCACTGCTGTCGTGGAAGGACTTTGTTATTTCTGGAGGAAGGGCTAGGTACGACAACAGGGGCGTCGTACCCACGCTTGACAGGTTTAGCAAGTGTAAACGTGTGATTTAGCAGGAATTAACAAAAGGAACCAGCAAAATTGCAAAGTGCTCCCCCCAAGCCAAATAGCCTTTTATCACCATAGGGTGCTGATGCTTTTATTGCACTCCTCTTTTATCCCTCCAGGCTGTTCCGTATTTTGCCTAGGTGGACGATTTGTGCTCGGAGAACGCAATCATGCTGCATCGCTTCAATAGATATCCTCTCATTATCGATCCATCTGGTCAAGCTTCTGAATTCATAATGAAGCAGTTTGCTGGAAGGAATATTCAGAAGACGAGCTTCTTGGACGACTCATTCAGGTTAGAGAAGACCTCGAGAATGATTAGTTTATCTTTTTTCCCTCAAGGTGGTTCCCTTTGACGAATAATAATCAAAGGAATTAATGTAACCAACGGCAGGAAATGTTTTTTGGCGTTCAGAAAGAATCTAGAATCGGCTCTTCGATTTGGTAATTCGTTGTTGGTGCAGGATGTCGAAAGTTACGATCCTATTCTGAACCCAGTTTTGAATAGAGAGGTAAGTGTACAGTCCGGGTGGAGGGGGGGGGGAGTTGAGTTTGGCGCGTCGGCAGCCTGTTCTGCACCAGTTGGGTAAGCTGGCAGGCGACCACATTTGGCAGAAAATGGGCTGGCGTAGCGCCAAATTCGCCTCCACCTCGAAACGCCCTAGCGAGCAAGAGTATGTTAAAGTTTTTCCGAATTCTTCGTTGTTTCGGTGGGCGGAGGCAGAGAATCGCTTCAGTGAAGTGTCCCTTCTATTTACTGCGTCAGAAGGAAGCACTCACTGATGAGCAAAGCTTAGTGATCCTCTGGTCGCCCATAAATATGTGGCAAAATGCATCTCTAAGTTCTCTGTGTGCCCTCTGCTGACGTTGTTCACATGTTACTTCTACAAAATTTATTTATTTGTCATGCACGCATAGGTGCTCTAAACAGTGCAAGTGCAAAATTGGAATTTATGCTGTGGGATTTCTATTTGGACATATTTAAATGCTCCTTCCCTAGGTGAAACGTACTGGTGGACGTGTGCTGATAACGATCGGAGATCAGGACATCGACTTGTCACCAGCGTTCCAGATATTCCTGATCACTAGAGATGCATCGGTAAGTTCTCATGTTTTCTAAGGCTTTTATGAAATCCCCAACACCTGATTTTTGCCAAAAAGGAGTTGAAAGTTAGTTGACTCAGATTGTCAAATATTCTCCAAGCCCTCATTAAGGTCTCCTAACGCGTGTAGGGCATGAACCGGTAGAAGAGGGGCTTAAAATCTGTAGAAGAGGAAGCTCAGACTCAGGAAAGGTCGCAAGCGGGAGGCTCCCACCCTCATCCAAAAAGGTCCTGTCCTCTTCGGTTGTCTTCACCCTAGCTCTTGCTTCAGAGATTCAGAGCACATCGTTTCTGTTCTGTCCTAATTATTGGTGACATGATGACAGGTGGGTGGGTGACAAGACGATCGTAATATGCTGCGCTGGTGGGCGTGGAGCGACACCGCTCCCGCGAGAGACGAGCTGTCCAGCCTAGCCGTTCAAATTTGCATGCCAAAGGGGCGAAAAGAGTATACATCACTGGACATCCGCATGTATTCATATCGGTTCGGCTGCTTCGAGCGGCAGAACGATGAACATAAGGAACTTGCCGCGCGTCGTCGCATGATTTGCTGCACGCGACATCGCGGCGAACTGTGGTTTTCTTGTGCGCCTCCCATGGCAGGCAGCTGTCGAAGAATAAGAGCCACTTTGCGCGTTATTGCTTCACCACTTGACCCCTCTTCCTCTTGAGAGACGGACAAGACAACTGTAATTTGTCGCGTCGTCGCGCGGCAGATTGTCGCGCACTACTTGTCGATCGGAGCAGTGGAACTCATTCGAACTCGAGCCGAGACAATATTGTATGACGACGGATGTGATTTTTGTGTTCCTTTGATCCTCAGACTCAGAGCCGGGCACAACAACTCGTCCTCCAGGCGCGGCGCCTCTCGCCGCGCCCATCAGCGCTGCCGACCTCCAACCAAATCAGCGTACTTACAGCTTAGGACCAGTCTGTGGTCGTGGTCATGGCCTATGTAGGGAAGGCCACAGTTGATCCTGATGCTGTATAGGCTGGAAAAAACGGCAGGCAAGCCGCACGTATCAGCGAGATACCGCTGCCGTGCCCTTATCATGGTGGGAAAGCATGAAGCCGCTATTTGGCTTGGGAGGGGCATTTTTTTACTTTCGCTGGTCCTTTTTCTCTAGTTCATCTTAACTAACAGATCCGCGCGTTTGGTGGAACGTGCCGTGAAAAGTTTGTTGTGGAGCTGTTACATCTGTTCTCACACATTGGGGATCTCCAAGGTCTACAAGCTTTTGCTGAATCCCATTTTTCCCCCCACCAAGCTCGCAACTTTCATCATTTCACATTTTTTTTTTAATTTTGTTTTATTGAGTCCCCCCGCGAAGTATCTAGCGAGGAGAGGAGTGGTTGGTGGAGTTTACTCCTGATGTATGCTCTCGTGTGACGTTTGTCAACTTCACAGTAACCTCATCCAGTCTTGCAAGTCAGTGTCTCAATCAAGTACTCCGAAGTGAACGACCAGATGTGGACAAGAAGCGCAGTGACCTGTTGAAGCTGCAGGTTTGCTTTGATCTGAAACCATAATTGGCTTTGAACGGCAGAGTTATTGCTTGTTTGAATTACAGGGTGAGTTTGCCGTGCGCCTCCGCCAACTCGAAAAAGCGCTTTTGGCGGCGTTGAACGAGAGCAAGGGTAAGATACTGGATGACAACTCTGTCATCGGCACCCTAGAAAAGTTGAAGAACGAAGCGTCGGAAGTGGCAAAGAAGGCAGCCGAGACTGATAAAGTCATGGCTGAGGTGAGTCAAGGCTCATGCCCACAGGACCACTGGAAGACTGCGTTTATACCTCGCGACTCGAGAGTTTCAGTCGCGCGATTTCAAAATTTCATGGCTGCGACGGACTGCGCTCCACCGCTAATTGTGGGACGGCTGTGGCTGCAAATCCAATCACTTTTAAGATAGAACTTCTTTCTGCCATCGTAGCATCAAAAAATTACCTATGAACCACTATCAAACGCATTCGCGCGACATAAGCGTCCGAGTCGCTGAGTATGAACGCGGCCTAATGGATTTGCACATTGGTTAGTTTAGGTGGAAGCAGTTTCGGCACAATATCAACGATTGGCACACGCATGCGCCCAGATCTTCCATACATTGCAGCAGTTGAACGAGGTGAGAGGATGTGCTGTAATCTGAAGCTCTAAGCTGGCTGTGAAGAAGCAGCAGCTTGAAAAGCTGTTTTCAGAAATGTACAAACTTCTGTTCAGGTTCACTTCTTGTACCACTACTCGTTGGACTTCCTTTTGGACATCTTCACGTGTGTACTGAAATCACCCGAATTGCTTCAAACTCAGGATCATATGCAACGGCTCAACATTATCACGTCGAATTTGTTCCAGGTTTGACACCATCACTATTAAATATTTCGAGGTTTTCCACCTGCTCAGAATTTGGGGCTTTTTGGCTTGGAAGGGTCAATAGAGCTTTCGCTTGTTTCTTCTGCTAGTTCTTATTAACTAGCAGGACTCACCAAGGTGAGACCCGTGAAGTCTTGTGATGCAGTCAAATAGTGCAAGTGAGCCACTTTGGTTACAAGATTTTACAAGTCTTTAGAAGGCTTGTACACGCTGCGCTGGGTACCAATTGGTGCCCCCACCAAGCCGAATTTTGTGGCTACATTACATTTGGATGTGTAGCAATATGATCGTCAAAATGTCGCTCTCGGCGAGTTACGTGTCGAGTGCCCCAATTGGACCTTCAGATACTTTACCTTTGCACCTGAGCGGACGCAGTTTCCTATTGTTCAGTTTCAGTCGCAAAGCAAGGTACGGTCTTGTTCGCTATAGGACGCCGAGGAGTGCCAGAGAGA